TCATCAATTCTATGATTAACCTCATCCTTCATAATCCATCCACTGACACGTCAACTCCCAAGTATCTGAAACATTCACTTCTTCCATACCCCTCCTCCCCAATTTGATATCCAATTTTTTTTTTATCTAAAAACATTTGATACCCTCATCACCTTACTCTTTTCTAGTTCACTTTCCAACTTTCTACCTTTACACACACTCCCAAACTCATCCACTAACCTTCGCAATTTTTCTTTAGAATCTCCCATAAGCACAGTATCATCAGCAAAAAGTAACTGTGTCAATTCCCATTTTGTATTTGATTTCCCATAATTTAATCCCACCCCTCTCCGGAACACCCTAGCATTTACTTCTTTTACGACCCCATCTATAAATATATTAAACAACCATGGTGACTTTACACATCCCTGTCTAAGACCTACTTTTACCGGGAAGTAGCCTCCCTCTCTTCTACACACCCTAACCTGAGCCTCACTATCCTCATGAAAACTCTTTACAACATTGTAACTTACCACCTGTTCCATATACTTGCAACATCTGCCACATTGCTCCCCTATCCACTCTATCATATGCCTTTTCTAAATCCATAAATGCAATAAAAACTTCCCTACCTTTATCTAAATACTGTTCACATATATGCTTCAATGTAAACACTTGATCTACACATCCCCTACCCACTCTGAAACCTCCTTGCTCATCTGCAATCCTGCATTCTGTCTTACCTCTAATTCTTTCAATAATAACCCTACCGTACGCTTTTCCTGGTATACTCAATAAACTTATTCCTCTATAATTTTTACAATCTCTTTTGTCCTCCTTCCCTTTATATAAAGGAACTATACATGCTCCTTTCTGGCAAGACAGTGATGGAGTGAATGATGGTGAAAGTTTTTCTTTTTCGGGCCACCCTGCCTTGGTGGGAATCGGCCAGTGTATTAATAAAAAATAAAAAAAAAACATTTTGAGTTGTGAGATAGAGATAGAGACAAAGATAAAGTCAGAGATAGAGATACAGAGACAGGCAGAGATAGGTACAGGCAGACAGACAGAGATAGAAATAACCAGAGTCAACCACCCACCCACCCAGCTGCCGGCCAGCCAGCCAACTGGCCTGCCAAACACATAATACACATGTTCCAGAATTATTTCTCTTTACTTAGGGGATAGGTTATAGGACATTCTGGGTGGATGACACTACCAGTGGTATCAAATTTGAAAGGATGTTGCACATGGGTTATTATCGAGATTTTTTATATTTCCTCGACCACTTGTGGCCACATCCATCTCAGAGCCACTAAACTCGGTGTCAGCATCACTTTCCTCTTAACCCTTTGACTGTTTTGGTCGTATGTATACGTCTTGCGCGCCACTGTTTCGGACGTATTTATACGCGTAAATTTTGTTGAAAATAAGAAAAAGTTTTGGAGTGAGATTAACAAGTTAAGAAAGCCTAGAGAACAAATGGATTTGTCAGTTAAAAATAGGAGAGGAGAGTTATTAAATGGAGAGTTAGAGGTATTGGGAAGATGGAGGGAATATTTTGAGGAATTGTTAAATGTTGATGAAGATAGGGAAGCTGTGATTTCGTGTATAGGGCAAGGAGGAATAACATCTTGTAGGAGTGAGGAAGAGCCAGTTGTGAGTGTGGGGGAAGTTCGTGAGGCAGTAGGTAAAATGAAAGGGGGTAAGGCAGCCGGGATTGATGGATAAAGATAGAAATGTTAAAAGCAGGTGGGGATATAGTTTTGGAGTGGTTGGTGCAATTATTTAATAAATGTATGGAAGAGGGTAAGGTACCTAGGGATTGGCAGAGAGCATGCATAGTTCCTTTGTATAAAGGCAAAGGGGATAAAAGAGAGTGCAAAAATTATAGGGGGATAAGTCTGCTGAGTATACCTGGTAAAGTGTATGGTAGAGTTATTATTGAAAGAATTAAGAGTAAGACGGAGAATAGGATAGCAGATGAACAAGGAGGCTTTAGGAAAGGTAGGGGGTGTGTGGACCAGGTGTTTACAGTGAAATATATAAGTGAACAGTATTTAGATAAGGCTAAAGAGGTCTTTGTGGCATTTATGGATTTGGAAAAGGCGTATGACAGGGTGGATAGGGGGGCAATGTGGCAGATGTTGCAAGTATATGGTGTAGGAGGTAGGTTACTGAAAGCAGTGAAGAGTTTTTACAAGGATAGTGAGGCTCAAGTTAGAGTATGTAGGAAAGAGGGAAATTATTTCCCAGTAAAAGTAGGCCTTAGACAAGGATGTGTGATGTCACCGTGGTTGTTTAATATATTTATAGATGGGGTTGTAAGAGAAGTAAATGCGAGGGTCTTGACAAGAGGCGTGGAGTTAAAAGATAAAGAATCACACACAAAGTGGGAGTTGTCACAGCTGCTCTTTGCTGATGACACTGTGCTCTTGGGAGATTCTGAAGAGAAGTTGCAGAGATTGGTGGATGAATTTGGTAGGGTGTGCAAAAGAAGAAAATTAAAGGTGAATACTGGAAAGAGTAAGGTTATGAGGATAACAAAAAGATTAGGTGATGAAAGATTGAATATCAGATTGGAGGGAGAGAGTATGGAGGAGGTGAATGTATTCAGATATTTGGGAGTGGACGTGTCAGCGGATGGGTCTATGAAAGATGAGGTGAATCATAGAATTGATGAGGGAAAAAGAGTGAGTGGTGCACTTAGGAGTCTGTGGAGACAAAGAACTTTGTCCTTGGAGGCAAAGAGGGGAATGTATGAGAGTATAGTTTTACCAACGCTTTTATATGGGTGTGAAGCATGGGTGATGAATGTTGCAGCGAGGAGAAGGCTGGAGGCAGTGGAGATGTCATGTCTGAGGGCAATGTGTGGCGTGAATATAATGCAGAGAATTCGTAGTTTGGAAGTTAGAGGAGGTGCGGGATTACCAAAACTGTTGTCCAGAGGGCTGAGGAAGGGTTGTTGAGGTGGTTCGGACATGTAGAGAGAATGGAGCGAAACAGAATGACTTCAAGAGTGTATCAGTCTGTAGTGGAAGGAAGGCGGGTAGGGGTCGGCCTAGGAAAGGTTGGAGAGAGGGGGTAAAGGAGGTTTTGTGTGCGAGGGGCTTGGACTTCCAGCAGGTATGCATGAGCGTGTTTGATAGGAGTGAATGGAGACAAATGGTTTTTAATACTTGACGTGCTGTTGGAGTGTGAGCAAAGTAACATTTATGAAGGGGTTCAGGGAAACCGGCAGGCCGGACTTGAGTCCTGGAGATGGGAAGTACAGTGCCTGCACTCTGAAGGAGGGGTGTTAATGTTGCAGTTTAAAAACTGTAGTGTAAAGCACCCTTCTGGCAAGACAGTGATGGAGTGAATGATGGTGAAAGTTTTTCTTTTTCGGGCCACCCTGCCTTGGTGGGAATCGGCCAGTGTGATAATAAAAAAATAAAAATAAATTCTAGTGGCTTCAAATCAAGCAAGAGAAATCTGGTAGGCCCACATGTGAGAGAATGGGTCTGTGTGGTCAGTGTGCACCACATAAAAAAAATCCTGCAGCACGCAGTGCATAATAAGAAAAAAAATGACCGTTTTTTTTTTTTATTAAAACACCGACTTTGAGATGTATTTTCATATAGTATTTATCGTTGTATTCTCGTTTTCATGGACTCATGTGATAAAATGGAAAACATATTACAGAAGCAGAGATGATTTTGATTAGTTTCACAATGAAAACAACCTTGAAATTGAGCTCAAAGTAGTGGAAATTGTTTGATTTTTACCAATGTTCAGGAGTAAGTAAATCACACCACACGTCCAGTACACATCAATTGGGGAGTCTATTATTCTTTCACTAGTGCACTGATATTATTTATACCATTTTTACAGTAATGCAGTAGTCTGCATAACAGTAAATTTTGTATTTTTTGTATGAATAAAAAATCAAAATAGAAAGCAATAGCAATATAAGAGGGGCCTAGAGACGTGACTAATGAACAGAGGATATGTTATTTTAGTGCCAAGAATGTCTGCATTGTTTATTCTGGACCCTATTTTGAAATTGGCTTCTTTTTTAATTTGCGTGAAATTGGCCAAATTGCCAGTTTCTGACCACTTTATTGGAAAATTCAAATCAGTAAATGGGTGGTTTCTTGTACTCAACTGATAGAAAAAATGGAGTTCTAAAGAAATAGCTATGAGTTTGGTCAACTGGAACAACGGAATTGGCCAAAAACAGGGCTCAAAGTCGGCAAAATCGCCGATGCGTATATGTCGCTGAAACCATTAACTTCGCGGAGCATAATTCCGTGAGTTTTCGACCAAATTTCGTGCTTTTGGTGTCATTACCATCTGGAAAAGATTCTCTTATCATTTCATAAGATTTTTTTTCAAAAAATTTGCGACATAGAATGATAGTTTCAGAAAGGGGCTTGCGACAGTCAAAGGGTTAAAAGGGGAGCGTTAATAGGACGTGACATCAGTGAATCCCTGGTGTTTGCCACGCTTTTTGCTCTAGCTGGAGCTCAGTTGAACTGGTGCTCCCACAAGGTACTAAGTGGTCCCAGATTTTTTTTAATACTGCGCACACCGAGTGTTGAGACCCATTCTATACTGACCAGGCATCTCAGGCCAATCATGCCAAATTTAGAGGCAGAAAAAATAAAATGTTGATCTACATTTGGAGCACTAGCAGTAAGAACGTAGATCTATGTTTGGACAGTTAAGGGGTTAAAAAGAACTGTACAGCTAATGGACTTGGCCATTTCCATGAATAAAAAATGATTCCAAAAGCCTCTTTTTCCAATCCCTTACTCTCTTTGTCCACCTCTCAGTAGTTTATTAGCCAGAGTATTTTAATAAAACTTCTGGTCAAAGGTAACTCCCTGGCTAGAGTGCAGATTACATGTTGAGACCCCTGGTATGCCTTGGAGGCTTATTTTTATCATTTGTCTTAAAAAAAATGTTACCTTCTCACACTTGTTCTTGGGACTGCAGAATCAGTTCCATTTGACAATAGTATACTTCTACTCCCACAGACATCTCTGGCAGATAGAAAAGTTGAATTGCAAGAAACACGGCAACCCTATTATGATACTGCAGCTCCTAGTCAGAAAAGCATCCATTCCCCTCTACCCTTTGATCCAGGGCAGCTGGTTCTCATTGATCTGTCCTTTGGGAAACGTAAAGTGCCAGCTATTCCTTGGGATGGACCGTATCTAGTACAATCTTCAGATGAGAATGTTTGCTTGGTACAAAAAGGTAATGGCAAATGCAAGACAGTCCCCCGAGTATACTGCATACTATATACTCCTCAGTTACTGCACACTGGCAATGAACACCTGCTACAGGAGCAGCAAGCTGAGTCACACAATCTTGACTTGAGTGATCCTCAAGTTGGACACACTTCAAAGACCAAATCTGAACCATTTCTTAAACCTCAGCCAAGCCTGACCAAGGAACTACCAACACTTTCCACTCTTGCTTTAGATCCCTCACAAACAACACAGAAATTCATAAAAAATTGCACTGTGATACTTGGTGAAGATGGAGAAATGTTTGTTTGCTATTTTGACGAAAGAAGTGCGAACATGTGTAAACCTTCAAAACTATACCACAGCCGAAGTACACAAACAGATGTGGTACCAATTATTACATGTGATATACAAGCAGATGATGCACAAGTTACCCTGGCACCTGCATTGAGTCCCTAGAAAAATATTTACTTATTTATGGATGATCTTCACTTTAAGATTTGAAGCAAGACACAAACACCAAAGAGGGAGATTAAGTTAATATCAAAGAGAAAATTCCTGCCTTTCTTAAAACGTAACTTCCTTAGGGAGTAAAGTCATCAAATCTTGATAAATTTTGGTCATCATACAACTGTCCTGTATGTTCTGGAACATCAGTCTGCATACATTTTTGTATATGTATGAATAAATAACATATACAGTGGACCCTCGGGTAACGCCTTTAATCTGTTCCAGAGAGCTAGCCTTTAGCCGAATTAATTTTCCCCATAAGAAATAATCGAAATCCAGTTAATCCGTTTCAGACAGCCAAAAGTATTAACAAAAAATGTTAATTTTAAAGATTAAATATAAATATACATACAGAAAACAGTGACAAATAAATAAAAAGCACTAATGAAATGCATAAATGAACATTTAACATAACACTTACTTTTATTGACTTACCTTTATTGACTTGACTTGTTGGTGTATGGTAGACATGTTGGAGGTAAGAGGAAGGCAAGATTATTATGCTTAAATATGATGCTAATATCATCTCTACAGCTTATTTATCTATCACAATTCATCTAATATGACATTATAAACGATATTAATAACATAGAAACATGATATATACTCTAGAATGAATAAAATATGTCATAATGTATGTGAGGAGTAAATGGTGTAAGTGTTATGAGGGTCGCCACTGAGAGAAGTCATACATAGTGGTGGTGGAGGTGCCAGCAGAACCCACCATCACTATCACACTTAAACAATGTATGTAATTTATAAATAAGAAATATTTACATTTTATTTTATAAATAAATATTCATGTTTTAATTTATAAATAAGAAATATTTACATTTTAATTTATAAATAAGTTTAGTCAGGTATACACAAATACAGTTACATACATAGATTATCATACATAGCAGCATATGTGTAAAGTACCTAGGATAACCCAAAAAAGTCAGAGTGACTTACATATTTCCATTGGGGTCATTTTATATTTACACTTATATTTACCTTTATACTTACATTTTTATATTTACACTTACCTTGGAGAAGATGTTAGTTTAATTAGTTAATTTGATGGAGGAGATGCTGGCAGAGGCTTAGAGTGGTGGAAGATACGTAGCAAGGCAGCGTATGTTCAGTGGCCCGATACACATTCAGCAACATTGGAGAGTTACTTGTGTGTCGTTTTTCTATCGCTTACTCACTTAACTTTCTTGCTACACTGTTAATTCTACACTTTATTGCTGGCTGGCACTATAGCCTTTATCGATACCTGCTGCTTTAGTATCGTACATATCGTAGAGTCACTGAATCACTGCAGAAGACACATTCACCCCTCTATCTTCCTCCTCCACCTTGGTACTTTGCTACGAGTTTTTTCTTGAATTTTATTGTGTTTCTTTCCTCCTTTATCACAGGGCTGACACTAGAAGCTTTCTTTGGGCCCATGGTGGCTTATTTAACAGTTACAAGCACTAAAAACAATGGAATAATACAAAATATATCGCATGTATTCATAGTATTGGCTAGCATGACTGGGCTCGGGTGAGAGAAGACGTATGTAGTGTCATCTGCAAATAGTGTGGGTTTGAGTAGTTGCAATGCATTTGGTAGGTATTAAAACTCCCCTATAAAATGCACAGAAGTTGGCAATTTGGCCAATTTTACTCAAATTTCAAAAAATACCAATTTAAAAATAGATTGCAAAATAAACAGTGTGGACATTCCTGTCACTAAAACATTTCCTCTTTTCATTATCACTTCACAAAGCCTCTTGTATACTATTATACTTGCCTTCCATTTTGAATTCATAATTACAAAAATAGAAGATTTTCTCTATTGCCAGATAATAAAATATAACCAGGAATAATTGGTCATGGTTTATGGCATCCCAGTACGTAATTTAATCAGACCTATTAAAAATCCATAAAACAGACCAGGGGATGTAGGGGGCATTAACAGTCCTCGAGAACTGAAACCAACCAATATCATATCTAATTTCAGTAGCATGTCTTACATTCTATAAACTGTTACAAAGAAACAGCCAATAAAACCATAAAAACCATCCTAGAAACCTCGAAGTCAGTTTTAAACCAATCACACGGTCAGAGTTTTGCTTTTCCCATCATGCACTGCATGGGACAGGAATTTTGTTTTATACTGTGTGTTCATACCTTGCTAACCATTTTTCTCATATAAAGGCCAAAATTTACTGCTCATAACCTATCTGAGTGAACTGAGCTCATGATGTGGAACTATGTGATGGACTTTGGCCTCTCTGATGTAGTTTTAAGTGATGACCACTGTCTGTCATGTAGAACTACATTATTGAAGTCAGGGGTCCTTCTTGTAGTTCTACGTCATGAGTTCAGCTCACTTAGATAAGCTATAAGCAGTAAATTTTGGCCTGTGCGGTGAGTGTGCACAGGGTAAAAAAAAATTCTGCCCCATGCAGTGGATGATCTGAAAAGCAAAACTCTGACCTTGTGTTTGGTATAAAACAGTGACTTTGAGGTATTTTCTAGGATGGTTTTTTATGATTTTATTGGCTGTTTCTTGGTATTGATAGACCCAAAAACATACTACTGGAATAAAGATGATTTTAATTGGTTCCACTGCTGGAAGTAGCTTGAAATCTGCCTCAAGGTAGCCATTATTCGATTTTTGCCAATATTCCTGAGGACATGTTAGGCCTCTCTTGCACTGGTCTGTTTTGTAGGATTTTTACTAGGTGTGATTCAGTTACTGAGACACTGTAAACAATGGCATTATCCAAGAAATATGGTAAATCTTCAAATTTTTTGTGTGATGAATTCAAAATGGAAGGCAAGTGTTATATAGGAGAAGCCTGGGGACATGATTAATGAACAGAGGAAATGTTATTTTAGTGCCAGGAATGTCTACAGTGTTTATTTTGGATTCTGTTTCTAGATTGGAATTTTTTTAATTATGCATAAAATTGGCCAAATTAAAAACTTCTGTGCACTTTATAAGGCAGTGTTGGTAATTGAATGGAAGGTTTCTTGTATTCAATCAATAGAACAGAAGGCATAGTAGTGAAATACCTAAGAATTCGGTCAAAATTTGTATTTTTGGTGCCATTAACTTCAGAAAAAAAAAAATTTTCATGTCAGTAGACAAAAATATTTTTTTTAAATGTGGACACTGAGCACTTTTAATTTTAGCAATTTAAACAGCGAAAGGGTTAATGTATCTGGGGTGGTCTTACGCGGTCATCCAGTGTCTTTTCCTCTGATGAGGTTGTCTGTCCCACCAGAATCCACAAAACATTTCACTTCAAATAAATAGCAAAAAGGCACAATAGTGTGACTGGAACAATACACAAATAACCCGCACATAGGAGAGGGAAAGAGGAGCACTGCAAGGGAGATAGGGGCCCCTGGCTCCCTTGCAGTGCTCCTCTTTCTTAGTTTTTGACTGACTCCACTACTATTACTACCCCCTCTACCACTACCTCTCTTCTTCCTTTCCTACTACCTCTTTTGTCCCGTCCCTGTCTTCTGGCCTATATATACTCCCTCCTCCACTCCTTTTTGTTAGTGTGACTTTGTAAATGGTCCAAGTCGGACTGAAACGTCGTCGTAAGCTCCTCCCTCCTATGTGCAGGTTATTTGTGCATTTCACTTTGCTGCACATTCCTCAGTGTTACTCCTGTTGGGTTACAGATAGCTTTGTTGGGATTCTCTTCCTTGTGTAGGGCAATAATATATTTATTTATTTATTTATTTACAATTTGAGCACACATACAGAGGTATAAAAAAATTCAGATAAGAGCAGCATGCCAAAGCCACTTATACTATGCATAGCATTACGGGCTGGCTTAAAATTAACTTAAGATTAACTAAGCAATCGATCGAAATCACAGTGATAAAACATTAATGTAGTAAGACAGATTACTATAAAGCACAATGATGAGTATTACTCAAAGATACAGGTCATATGGTTGCATGCAATGCAGTCATTCAGTAGAATGGAGTATTCTGTTAGGTATTGTAGTATTTCACAAATCTAGGTGGAGAGAGTGTCTCGCAACGCTTGGGTAAACGGTTTACAAAAACGAGCGTTGTCTTATGGATTTATTCCTCCTCTCATCATACTGTTGGCCTCTGAATAGTTCCCACTCGCACCAATGCAGGAGTTGCCTGCTCACTTCGGGCTTCACCTCACGCAGCACGCCGCTCTCTCCTCTCCGAGAATAGCTCCTCGTGTTTTTAACCATGTCATTCACTCCGATCATTGTCTGTGCTCAGGATAGTGTCGCATTTTAGAATCACTACAGTTTGTTTTAAACTATGCCCATTTAACACCCCTCCTGCGAAGATGTGCTCGAGGTGCTACTGCTACTATAGCGCGCCGACTCTCCAGGAATCAAGTCCGTGTACCTTGAACCGGGGGTTTTTGTGTCCTTGGAAGATTGAAATCCCTTTGTGCATAAAAATGTGTGGCTTGCACACGCGCGGCGCCATACGCGGTAGTCCGTCAAGTATTGAATGTAAGATCGCGCAGTGTGGCTCGCCTATTTCACTCCTATCAAACACGCTCATGCATGCTGCTGGAAGTCCAAGCCCTCGCCACCAAAAACCTCCTTTACCCCTCCCTCACTTTTCCTGGCCGAGACCCCTACCCCGCCTTCCTTCCACTACAGACTGATACACATCTTGAAGTCATTCTGTTTCGCTCCATTCGCTCTACATGTCCGAACCACCTCAACACCCTTCTCAGCCCTCTGGACAACAGTTTGGTAATCCCGCACCTCTCCTAACTTCCAAACTACGAATTCTCTGGCATTATATTCACACACCACTTGCCCTCAGACATGAAATCTCACTGCCTCCAGATTCTCCTCGCTGCCAACACTCATCGACCGCCACACTTCACACCCATACCAAGAGCCGTTGGTAAAAACCTATACTCTCTACATTCCCCTCTTTGCCTCCAAGGGACAAAGTTCTTTGTCTCCACAGACTCACTAAGTTGCACACTCACTCTCTTTTTCCCTATCAAATTCTATGATCACCTCACTTTATAGACCCATCCGCTGACACGTCCACTCCCAAATATCTGAATACGTTCACCTCCTCCATACTCTCTCCCTCCAATCTGATATCCAATCTTTCATCACCTAATCTTTTTGTTATCCTCATAACCTTACTCTTTCCTGTATTCACCTTTAATTTTCTTCTTTTGCACACCCTACCAAATAATTGATATAATTGTAAGAAACATTTAAGATATACAATTTATAAGGTTCAGTTATTCAGTATTTATTTGGTTTTGGGTGAGTAAGTGATCTTTGAGAAGAGACTTGAATTTATAAACAGGTAGTGTTTCTTTTATATTTACAGGTAATGAATTCCAGATTTTAGGGCCTTTTATGTGCATTGAGTTTTTGCATAGCGTGAGATGGACACGAGGAACATCAAAGAGTGATCTGTGCCTTGTGTTATGGTCATGTGTTCTGTTGAGGTTGGCAAGGAGATGTTTGAGGGGAGGGTTATTATCAGAGTTAAGTGTTCTATGTATGTAATAGGTTGCAGTAATAAGTATGGATGTTTTGTATGGTGAGTAGGTTGAGTGTATTGAATATTGGTGGAGTGTCTGCCTGTAGTTGAGAATTTTTTATCATTCTAACTGAAACCTTTTTTGGGAAATTATGGTCGAATGGTTACTTTTTTTTGACCCCTTGCCAAATTCCTAGTGAGATAGGGTAAAAAAGAAGTAAAAAGGGCCAGGAGGCTGACGTGGAGCATATACCAACTTCGATAGTATCCTACGTTTTGGGGAAATTTTTTTTAAAATTTTGTTGTATTTGATAAAATTTTGGTCTATATAAAGGGGGTTTCCTAAATTTTCCCTCTGTTAGTTTTTGTGATAGGTGACCTTTATCATTAGTTAAGAGGGACATTTTTAGCTCTGTTACCAAACTGAATGAAGAGTTGTCAATGTTTAGTGTAAGTTGTTAGTCCCATCCGGTAATATTTTCTTAATTCGGTAAATTTTTCAGTAATTGGGTAGCGTGACTGGGCCGGGGGGAAAAAGTATGTTTGTGTCATTTGCAAATAGTGTGTTTGATAAATTTCGAAGCATTTGGTAGTCATTTATGAAGGGGAAAAAAGAAGAGGGCCCCCAAAGGGCACTTCCCGTGGGACACCAAACTGTAATTGGTTTTTGCAAAGAGTTTGCCCCATTTGCGTACACATATTGGCTCTGTTCTGAGGAAATGACTTGAGGTAGTTGGGAGTGCCCTCTTAACCATAGTGTGACAATTTTACGTGGAGCAAGTCATGGTCAACTGAAATCAAAAGCTTTACGTAATCAATGAAGATCCCCAGTGGGACTTTTTTTTCTCTATTGCAGTGTTATATATGTTCTTAGCATGTGTATAATAGCATCATTAGTATTTTTATTAGGCCCGATCCAAATTGGCAGGGGTTGAGTATGTTTTTGGGAGATAAGGTAGGAGTAGATTCGTTATGAATTTAAATTTTTCGAAGATTTTGAGAGAGGGTGTAATTGGATATTGGCCATAGTTATTCAACTCTGTTTGGTCTCCCCCCTTTGTGGATCGGGGTGACCCTTGCTATTTTGAGTACTGTAGGGGAAAGGGGAGGATTCAATGGATTTTTTAAAGAGTGTTGGCAATGATTGGTGATAGCACTTGTGACACTTTTTTGTATATAAAGGGGGGGTAAGGTATTTAAATCTCCTGCCTTGTTTTTTAGGGGTGTTGATAATAAGGGAGGAAATTCGTAAAGGGTTAGTCCGGAGCTAGGAACAATGTGTTCGGTAGTTGCCGGGAGGTAGTCATTTGGTGGGGTATCTGAGCTTGGGATTTTATTGGCAAGGTTTTTTCCTATAGTGGAGAAGAAATCATTGAGTCTGTTTGCTGTTTCTGTTGGTGGGAGTTGGTGTTCATCTGATTTTGCAATTTTATTTCACTATTTCGTGATATCTTTTTTTTTCCCAGAATTTTTGATAGGGTTTTCCAGGTCTTTTTTTTATCACCTCGTAAGTTGGATAATCTGTTCTCATAATACATTTTTTTTTTGCCCTTCTTATCAGGCTGGTTAGGATTGACGAGTAAAGTTTTGTTTGGTCTCTGTTATGTGACCCATTCTGTACTGTTTTTCAAAATTTGGTGTTTTGTATTTATGGATTTGAGAATGCTGGTGTTAGCCAGGGACTGTTTAGTCTCTTAGCTGTATCTGTTTTTTTTTTTAGGGGGATGCTTGTTATAGAGGGATTGGTCTTTTTTTTTAAAAATTTTTCTTGTAATATCGGTTTTTTAGCCAGGTCCCAGTTTTTTGTAAGTGGAAAAAAAATGGATGTAAGTTTGAATGCTTAGGTTGGGTAATTTCCAAGAGATTTTGGGGAAAGGGGGTTTTTGGTTGTGGAACTGAAATGCCTTTTTGGGTTTGGGTTTGCCAGTGGGTAATAGAACCCTGTTTAAAACTCTTTAGTTTTTAGTTGGTAAAATTCAACCTTTGTTTGGATTTAAGTGGGGGCCCCGGTTAGAATTTTATATAACCCAATGTAATGTTTTTTTAGCAAAAATTTTACATACCCTATTTTTTAAAAAATTGGTTTTTTTTATGGGAAGAAAATTTTTTTTTTTTTTTTTTTAAGGCTAATAACCCCATTTTAAATTTTGAAAATTTATAAAAATTTTTAAATTGGCCTGAAAGAAATAGGGGCCCCCCCCGTTTGGAAAACTTTTGGTTGGTTTTAAAAAGGTATAAATTTAAAATAGGGTTTTAATTTAAGTTATGGGGGAAATATTAAAATTTTATAAGTATATCTTTAAAATGGCTTAAAATTAATTTTGATTTGGGAATTTTTTTTTGCACGAGAAGGGCCTTTTGATTTTTTAAAAATTGTAAATTTTTTAAAAAAAAAAAGGTTTTGGATAATAAGTTTTAAATAAGGGGGAATTAAGTTAAATTTAAGAAAAAAAGTAAAAACAAAGTAAAAAATGGCCCCTAAAAATTATTTTGTTAAAAAAGAGAAAGGGATTTTTTTTTTTTTTTAAATAAATGGGGGGAAAAATTAAAAAGACAATAAAAAAAAAATGGGGGGGCTAAGGCGGGGAAAGATAGGTGTACTTGGAATTTTAAAGTTAGAATTAAAAAAAATTAAAAAAAAAAGGACAAAAAAAAGGGGAAAAAAAGGAAAAACAAATAAATGACGGGTAAAGGAAAAAGTAAAATTTTTATTAAGGGGAAATGCCCCTTGTTATTTAAAATTTTGGAAATTTTAAAAATGGGGAGAAAAAAAAAAAAGGGAAAAAAATTTAAAAGGGCAAAAAAAAGTAGGTAAAAAAATTTAAAAAATTAATGAAATAAAAAATTTTTAAGTAAACTTTTTTGAAATTTAAATAAATTGAGCATTTTAATGTAAAAAAAGGATTTCTAAGAAAAAAATAGTTTTGTTTAAAAAAGAATTGGAATATTTTGTCCTAAAAAGTCAAAAAACTAGTATTTAATTGCGTAAAAATAAATTATTTTGGGGTTTTTTGTTTAAAAAGGTTTTAAAAGCTGAAAGAATTTTGAGTTTTTTTGGGTTAGCAATATTTAAAAAAATTAATCCAAAATTAAAGTAATTCTTTAAAAATTTAATTGGGGCCTTTCTTTAAAAAAAATGAATTTTTGAAGGGAAATCTGTGTTTAATTTTTTTTTCCCTTTTGGAAGTTTTCCCTTATATTTTTTCCCAGGGGGAAAACCCTTGTATTTTTTTTTCCTTTTTAATTTACCTGCAAAAAGGTTTTTTGACGTTTTTTTGTTAGCACTAAAGTAACTCCTTTTTTTTTTCTGCTAAAATTACCCTTTCTTTTTCGTTGAATAAGG